GGGCAGGTGGGTGGGCCCACATGCTCGTCGCAGCCAACCAGTTCTCTGCCAGCTGATCTTCGGAGCAAGGGGTTCGCCCGAACCAGTCTGAACCGGTAGAATCCCATCCCTGGTGATGGGTCTTCTGAGGGGTCAGGTGTGGGTCATGTCAGGTGAAGGTCTTGTGATGGGTAGGTCATATCAGGTGAGGGTCATTGGGAGGCCCTTATAACCAGAAGAACACCAACACTGACAGTCCCAAAATTCCACTGAAGATGTTACTTAGCCTGGTAAGGCAACATGAGGAAACCAACCTCCACTCTCATCCTACACCTGAGCTACAGATATTCACCACTATTGCAGAGCATTCGGTGTTATCTAACAGTATCTTTTCCTCTGAGGCTTCCAAGAGTGGCTGTGTGGAGAAAGGCTGATCTAACCGACCCAGGGTGTCCTACCGTAAAACTCAGCTCCATGCTTTTGAAAATGTCATCATAGGATTGATCCAGTATACACTGAAGATTACTAAAGGGGAAAAGAACAAAGTGAAACAAACTGCTTCTCCCAATACTGAAATAATTTGCTTATTTATGATTATGTCAGTTTCAACAGAAAGTGATTCTCCATAATATTCTCAAGTCTTCGCCTAGTTTTGTCTCCGTTCAGTTAAACTAAGACTGACATCCAGTTCCTAAATTGAGAAAATAAAGGAGATTTCATGTCAAGAGCAACTCCTGAGGTTATATTCCTGCAATTTTCTTAGCAGCATTAAAGAACTTGTCAGGCATTGCTTTCTTCACTCTTCTTTTAAATGTCCCAGTCTAGCCAACACCTGGATTCTCTCAGATGTCTTTCATTTAAGTATCAACCAGGACAGACTTTGGTTTAGCTTCCAATATCAGCTTCTGTATATCCAAGCAATTTTGAGAGATCACAGAAAAAGAAAAGAGTACTTCATCTGCAATATCAATTATTTCCATATGAAAAATAATGTCATGCCATACCGTCCAACTGTAGGAGAGACTTCTTTTAAATCTTCCAGCGTTGGCTCCATATTTGCCAATTTCTTGAACAATGCAAGAGGGAAGGGTAAAGCAATTATCTTCTGATTTTGGAGCGCTATTCCAAACAGGTTCCCAATTAAAAAATATATGTCTTCCTGTGTTGATACCTAATTTGAAAAATCAATATACAAGTATTGAAAAATACACTGTAAAGCAAGGGTCTTCAAACTTGTGGACTCGTGGACTTCAACTTGTGGACTTTAAGACTTGTGGACTTCAACTCCCAGAATTCCTGAGCTAACATGACTGGACGAGGAATTCTGGAGTTGAAGTCCACAAGTCTTAAAGTTGTCAAGTTTGAAGACCCCCTACTTACAAAATAAATATTGTATTTCTGAAACTTCTTCCTATTTCAAACTCATTTAGCTGCAAAAGCCAAGTGATGCCTACATCCCCTTTCTACAACTTCAACAGCACCATCTCGGTTTGCCAATTTTCTCTCAGCAATGTGGATCCTTATAGGCATCTGGACTCCTCAAATAAGTGCAAGATAAAAATGGGTCTCGGCTGAATGCGTAATTCTATCTCATGAAGTATTCTAATTATGGTTCTCTCTATCTCAGCCCTGCTAACTTTAACCAACACTGAAGGATTGTGAGCCCTTTCATCTATGATAGGGATGTCAAACTCAAGGCCCGTGGGGTGCTGATATCTGGCCCATGGGGATGTCTTGGAAACAGCAAAGGACCAGCCTGCGGTATCTCTGTCAGCAAAAATGGAGCTCGGCGGGGCAGGGGGTGGTGGCACATGGCCCTCCCAGGCTCTCTTTTCAGTGGAAGAGGGCTGCAGGAGGCTGTTGCAGCCAAAAACAGAGCCTAGGAGGACCGTATGCAGGCTGCAGGACATTGAGCTGGCTGCGCCCACACTGGCCACACCCACTTCCCTCCAAGGTCAAACAGAACCCTGATGCGGCTGTCAATGAAATTGAGTTTGACACTGCTGGTCTATATTTCAACAGGGGTTGAATCTGAGAACTGTTGCATGCTGAGCAAGTCATCTGACATTAAGCTATAGTTCTCCCTGTACAGGTAGTCCTCCATTTATGTCCACAATTGAGCCTAAAATGTCTGTTGCTAAGTGAAATATTTGTTCAGTGAATTTTGCCCCATTTTGCAACCTTGCTTGACAAAACTTGATCACATGACCCCTCGACACTGCAACCGTCATAAATATGAGTCAGTTGCCAAGTGTTTGAATTTTGTTCAAGTGACCATGAGGATGCTGCAATGGTCGTGAGTATGAAAAATGGTCATGCCACTTTTTTCAACGGTTGCTAAACAAAGTAGGGAAGAATGGAAAGCACATGACTCTTGATTCTAAAAAGGAAAGCACAAGTAGTAAAGGAAACCAATATCTTAATAGTTCATGTCCATTCTACCATATTGTTTCTTTATATTTTTAATAGGAATTATCTTTTCACACCAGAATAAAGATACAGCTTGATGCAATATCCATGTTACAACCATGTTACAACAGTTAAGTTTCATCAGATGGTGATCAAATCTTTTATTAATGCTAAATCATTTCCCCATTAATAGAGGAGAAATATATTAACACCTGCTATCCACAAAACCTAGATCAGGGGTGTCAAACTCAAAGTGCATGGGCCAGATCTAGCCTGCGGGGTGCTTAGATCTGGCCCATGGGGCCAGCCTGGAAACAACAAAGGACTGGTCTGCGATGCCTCTGCTAGTGAAAATGGAGCTCCAGTGGCCACACATAGCCCCCCCGGGCTCCATTTTCACTGGCAGACAACTGCAGGAGGGTATCCAGGCCGAAAACAGGGCATGGATGGGCAGCGCACGGCTCCTCCGGGCTCCTTTTTCGCTGGCAGAGGGTTATTAAAACAAGCTAAAAACAAAAGAAAAGGAGAAATGTTTCCCCTTTGCCTTTGACTGTGCAAGAAGGGACAGGAAATGAGAAAGGGAAATAAGAAAGACAGAGAAAAAGAAAGAAAGATGAAGAGAAGAGAGCAAGGAAGGAAAAAGAAGGAAAGAGGGGAAGGAAGAAGAAAGGAGAATGGAGAGGGAAGGAAAAAGAAGAAAAGGGAGGGAGGGAGGAAGATTATAATGAGAATGAAGGTCTCATTATAACCCTGCCTTAGCACTTGGCCACCACAGGTGCCCCTGACACGAGTCCCATGTCACACCTGTCATGGCCACGCCCCCCAGCCATGTTCCATGACCCCGGCCCTCTGAGGTCAAACACAACCCTGATGCAACCCTCAATGAAATCAAATTTGACACCCCTGAGCTAGATGGATAACAAATTTCTAGGACTACAAATAATATCTCTGAACAGACAATGCCAAAAAGAGGTCAGCTATCACCTCCCATCCCTTTTAGGGGACAACCATGCTTATTTTCTCACCTCTATTGAAAAGTCAATGGTCAAAGAGATGAATTACCTACAAGGTCATTTCTATTTTTATACTTAACAGCAGAAAGCATAAATAAATGCAGTACATGTTTATACATACCTCACCAGGGAACCAAATATAACCCGAATCGTCAAAGCGCCTAAATACTTGTTCTTCTAGATTACACAGTTGTCTGCTGATGATTGTGAAGAACTCCTGGATCAGGCCCCCATACTTGACTTGAGGTTCTCCTTGAAAATACACCTGAAGAATTAAATAAAATTAGCCAGATATTTACATTAATTTAGACTGATAAACTAAATATAAAAATATTTCTGGTTGCTCAGAAATCAGAACATCTTTCCTAGTTTTTTTCCCCCTCTGAATTAAAGCTATAACCTTAAGTTATTCAAAAGATCCCTGAAACAGCTAAACCTGTTTCAGATGTGCTAGCCTTTCAAGACCAAAGCCTCTCAAGTTATCCTTAAAGTAGGGAAGGAAATTGCCCAAATTAAATTGTCACAAACACACATCAGAAGTCAGTGAAATTCTCAGGAGGAACAAACAGAATCAGAATTTACTCAATTTGGTATAAATCGCCTTACAAAAAAAAACACACATAACAAAAAGGAGATCCCTGTAAAATCTTATTCGTTTATTTAGAACAATGTTTTCCAATCTAGGCAATTTGAAGATGTCTGGCCTTCAACATCCAGAATTCCCTAGTTCTCATGTTGATCTAGGAATTCTGGGAGTTGAGGTTTCCTGGCTGGATCTTTTTCTTGTTGCCACTCAGGCTCAATTCAGCTTACTGTGAATATTTTTCTTAACACGGACGCTTTAAAAAACAGGAGTATAAAACCTTGGCACACTTTTAAGATTTGTGAACTTCAATACCCAGAATTCCCCAGCCACCATGCTGCCCAAGGAATTCTGGGAGTTGAAAGCACACATCTTCCAAGTTGGAAAAAATTTGATTTAGAAGGCGCTTCAATAAAAGCTTTGGCTATCCACCTAAACTAGGCTGCTAGTTTCCCAGCCATCTTGTTCCTCTTCTCCCGAACCACCCAAGTCCATCTTCCTCAGTATTCGGTTCAAGTATGCCCACCTACTGCTTTAGGGAGGCAGTTTTCAAGGACTATAAATACAGGGGACTTAAGAGATATAATCTGGGGATTGATTAAATCTTATTAAGAATTGGTTTTATTGGTGTTTATAGAAAATTTGAGATATTGAAAATGTGGTGGAACACTGAGTGATATTTATAATATTAAAACATTAGTGACTTAACAGGGGTTAATAAGTATATTGCATGAAAAAATGTTATTGAGGTTTACCTATATTTTTGGAGAAAGTGATAAAAATAATAAAGAGAGAACGTTTAAGTATTGTTAACTATGAGCATATCAAGGTGAGAAGTTGGAAGATAAAAACTCTGTATACGTAATGGTATCTACAGTATATAGAGGCAAACCGGTAGTCCAAAGTCCTCCCGGAACCAAAGGCAGAGTGCTTAAAAAGTATACCGGAGTTCTATTTTCAAGCGCTCTGCTGCACCGGAAAGAGTTCCTGCAAAGGCGGCTTCCACTTCCTGCCTGGTTCGACCTTTCGCGCTCCGCGGCGAATCATGCTCGCTCTGCCCGCCCTACGGCTTCTGACTCGCCACCCGCGCCAGGGACTTCTGCGGGGCAGCCGGGCGGTTTGCGCGGCGGCGGAGAACGGGGGGAAAACCACCAGCCCAGGACCGCAAGCGCCGCCCTTCGACGCCGGGCTGCTGGAGATCCTCGTGTGTCCCCTGTCGAAAAAGCCGCTCAGGTCGGGCTAGCAGCTTTTGCTCTCCGCCCCTTCGCGTTTGTCCCGGTTGTCGGCTACGCCCGCTCCCCATGGCCTGCACGCCTTCTCTATTGGCAATGGGTTATGTAGTCCAAAGGGCGGGGTGGCTTCCCGCCAGGATGGGAAACTCATCCTATCCGCCTTTCCTTATTTCATTTTCCAATAGTTTGGAATTGAATTGCTTTATGAAGCATATGTATTTATATGCTTAATAGCATATGATAAATGGCTTTATAGAAACTCAATATATATAATCTATGAAGGAAATGTTTCTGACTGAGAAATGCTTACTCCTCCCCCAAAGTTTTTAAATCTATCTATCCACTCACCTACTTATCTACCTACCTACCTCTATATTCATTTAGCTATCTCTCTCTCTCAATATTTATATATATCATTCTATCTCCCTCTATTTCTGTCTATGCCTACCTACCTCTTTATCTCTATCAATCTATGACTCTCTCTCTCCATCCATCTCTACCTACCTCTATATCTCTCTCTTCTCTCATATATCTGAGACTTTGGGGAAACGGGGAGAAGTAAGCGTTTCTCTGTCAGAAGCATCTTATTTCCTTCATAGATCTTAATGTAAGAGCTATCAAGTGATGAAATATCTTGCGTGTTATAGATTATTCAATTCAATCATTAGTTTAAAACAATTCAACAATTCCTATTTCTAATAGTGGATACAGAAGAGTCATGGTATTTTTACAAATGCCTCCTCGGAAATCCTTATCAAGATAACTTTACATAGATTCTTTCTTTCTTTCTTTCTTTCTTTCTTTCTTTCTTTCTTTCTTTCTTTCTTTCTTTCTTTCTTTCTTTCTTTCTTTCTTTCTTT